CCTTTAATAACGATGAACAAACTTGTTCACGTTCATAAATGATAATTTCACTAGGTGGATCATAAATATGCAATTCCACAAAGAAAAATGAAATTTAGTAGAATATTTCACTAATTCTTTACAACTTCTCATCAAAGGAGACAAACCATTAGTGATTTCCTTTTTTTGCAAAACGTACATCTCGAAATTTAGAATAGATTGCTTAAAAGAATGACGCACATTTTTTGGAGGGTAATAAAAAAAGAAAGCAATCAAATAATAGCTCTTTGTGCGACCCCACAACTATGCCGCACTTTAGTGGGCGGGTCAATTTGCAAAATGCGCACAATCAATGCTTCTTTGCAAATACAATTGGTAATAGCAATATTTTAACATATCAACTTACAATTTTCAGAAGTTCGGATCTCGATCGATAGTGACGTTTTTCGGGTTCTTCTCAGCGCTGTGCACTGCTTTAATTCCACTTTGTGCACATCTAGGCTTTTATTGGATGGTTGTAATGCGATTTCTGCAGGTAGAGTTGCACTTAATTCGAAAAATCAGTTTCTTAACTTATCTGAATGGTAGGATTAGCTTACCAGGCCCGATAAGATACGAATTTGCTTTGATAGTTTGTTGCCATGTTTTTTTTTATTCTATTCAAGTGATTTTTCCAGGGGACTGGCCTTTCTACAGGTTTTACCTTAATTGGTATAATTACCCGACAGTGGTCAATGCAGAAACAAAGTGCATTCTTCATCGCCTTTCTAACATGCTTCTTCCAGGTAAAATTATCTTTTTGCCAAAGCTCTCGTTTTTCAATAAATCGGATTTTTCAGATTGGCCCTATATTTACAATGCCAGTAGCTGGTGCTTTATGTACTTCATCTCTTGGCTGGTCTTGGGTCTATTATTTGCATGCATTTATTACTGTCATCTTATTCGCTCTGTTTCAATATTTCTACAGGTTGGCGTTTGTGATTGGTTTTTCATGCGGTCCCGCACGGAAAAATTGTTTTTTCGTTCAGAGAGCAACCAGATTACCACTCATTCGTGTCTGCAAAGGAATTGGATCGTATAAAACGAGGGAAAGGTGACACAGCAAAGAAAGAGCCAGTACCAGTCAAGGTCGGTGCAAAAAAATATGTTTTTCCTTTCTTTAGTGCCTTCGACCAATCACAACCCGTAGAGCAACTTAGCGAGGGCGGGGCGAATAATTTCAGCCAATCACAACTCTTTCAGGCAATTATCACCAGCAACGCAATCATAGCTGTGTGGATATCAGCTCTAGGCAATTTCATGGGCATTCAAGTCACCATGCAGTTCTCACCTACGTATCTCAACAAGGTAATCAATAAATCAA